GGTGCCCTGTTCCCTCAGGGCACTCCTGTTCAGGCACTTGTGCTTTTGGCTCCACACGTGTGAATGATCACTAGTTCAGCAGCTTCCAACAGTACCCCACAAAACCTAATGAATGTTAAGAAATGAATACTGATCATTAATCATTCATGGTAAACATGTACAAATACACTGCTATCTGTAGCTTTGAATTAGTGCAAGCATAAACCAAAAACCAAACAGACTGCTATTTGGCGGAAGCACGAAGTTACTTGTGAGTGACTCCAGGAACATCCTGTGCAAAATTCCCTTGGGTGAAATGGTGTAGATGAAATTGTTTCCATTGATGCGGAGCCCTCAGCCACAGATAGGAATACATCCTTACACACTGCAACACATGCTGACTGAACCTAGTCTCATACATATGCTCCGGGTGCTCTCCCTTTCTTGTCTTTATTTTCAGTAGATTGCAGAAACAACAGGCTATCTCTCAGCTTTTTAATTTCCCCCAAACATTTTCCAAATGAACTGTTATCTTTAATCACTACGGTTAGGGGACTATCCGGCCTCATTTATGGAAGCTACTTTTGCCGATGGATGAGTTCTTAAAGACAAGAATAAAGACATTAAGCATTGCCCATTAAGATTTTGCTTTAGTTGAGATAATAATTTGGGGGCAATTAAGCAAATTGTATAGACGGCAATAGGCCATTAATCCTCAAAGGAGCTGTCTGAGCTGGAGAAGTCTTGAAATTCTGAAAAAAAAAGATGAGAGTTTGGCAGTAGTTACATTTTGAAACTTTTCTGTTAAAACAAAAGATAACAATGCCAACAGGTACTGTCTTGGGTAAAAACTTAACTTCATTTACTTATAGCCTTTATCTTACCTTTTGTATGAAAAGATAGACATCTCTAAACCTTTGAATTAAAGATTAAAGTGTCAGCTAAGAATAAAGAAAATAGAAATATACCAGAAAATCTGAGCTAAAAGGTTACATTAGCAATAGACATCCAATTTAATTATAAGCTTCCCAATGACTAAGAAAGCATTTAAAAATTCATACTGAAACACTAGGAGAAAAATGTCTTTTTCTGGGCTCTAAAAAATGATAGGTTTTTTTTTTTTTTCTTTTTTGTCTTTTTCCTTTTTATCGGTACCGGGGATTGAACTCACGACTGCCTGCTTGCAAGGCAGGCGCTTTATGCCGCTGAGCTAAATCCCCAGCCCCCCAAAATGATAAGTTTTTAAAAAAAAAATTTAAAAATGATAGGTTAGTACAAAGAATATCTGCTTTTGAGGCATAGAGATATATGGCTTCCTGATTCAGTTCAGAGTTAAAAGAATTTGGGGCACATCAACTTAGTCAACTCTTAGTCCTGTTGTCATCACTTGAAGAAGGAATAAGGGTTGTGACCTTACAGAGTTTTAGTGAGGTAAGGTGACATCCTACACATGAAGCACCAGGCACATACAAGGTCTACAACGAACCACAGTTCCTTTTTCTCTTTTATGCAAGAGACCTTTAGTAAGAACTACAAAAAACACAGTACCATTCCTTCTCTAGTGAGTAGAGAACTGGGTCAGGAACCATGAGGCTTGTTTTCTAGCTAAAAAACCAATCTGCAGATTAGTATTGGAGCAAGGCCACTCCTTGATTTTGGGTACATTTGGAATGACACCCGGAATTTTCTAGGTTGAACTGCTGCTGTGTTTGTAATTTGCTGTGGGTGGTTTGGTGCCAGGAGGCTGAAACAGGCAGTGTGACACCTTGTAGGCATTCTGAGGTCCCACTGAGATGTGCTTCAATTTGGAAAGTGGAAGCAAGGGAATTGCAGGCCTTGGTACACTGGGATCTAACCTATGCTTTGGTGTAAATTTACAGTGAACATGGACAGCCCACTAATCCCATTTGGAGCATAGTTTTCCGCTGGTATATCCAAGAAGTTTAGTTAAATGTTCTGTCTGAGGGCCATTTTTAACCTTGTATTTTGTTATCCAAGGAGAAAAGGGTGTTTGAACATAAGCTCATTAATTCTGGTTAAATTTACTAATTTACTCTTTCACCAACATTTATTGAGCATCTATTACCAGCCAGACACTATTACAGACCCTAGGATATGGACGTAAAAGTTCCCGCTGTTCATAGAAGACAGACATAATAAAGTACATACTGTACAATTTCAATTATAAATAAAACTAAGAAACATAAATCTTTAGCAACATAAAGTAGGTCAGCAGTTTTAGAAAGGAGATGTAACAACTAAACACAGTGTGGAAACCTGGATTGGATCCTGGACCAGCGAATGGAAATTAATGACAAAACTGATTAAATTCAAATAAGGTCTGTAGTCAGTAGTATAGTTGCAATGTAAATTGTAACAACTATGCTATGTTTATGTAAGATGTTCATATTTTAGGAAGCTGTTTGAAAGTTTGTACTATCTTGGAAACTTTTTTCTAAGTCTGAAGTGACTTCTAAATGAAAACCTAACAGAGGAGAGAGAAATGTGACCTTTGGCAAATTTCTTCCCATTTCTGAATCTTAGTTTCTTTGCTTAGTTTTCTGTTGTTCTGACAAAATGTGTAACACACATCATGGTGGCAACTCCTAGTAAACAAGTTGTTCCTTTCCTGGTGGCCAGGAAGCAAAGAGAAAGAGGAATGGCCCACATTCTAATAACCTCTAAGAGATCCTCAGCGACCCAAATTCTCTCAAGTAGGCTCCACCTCTTAAAGGTCCCATCGGCTGGGACCAAATCTTTTACCTATGGAACTCTGGGGAAATTTAAGATCCAAACTATAGCATTCTTCCTGTGTGGAGCTGGGCAATCATCCCATCTACTTCATAGTGTCCTGAAGAGAAAATGGAAGAGGTAAAATAGCAATGCAAATGTGTTGATTTGTAAAAAGTTACTCTTGCTGTTAGTAATGGCAAAACACTGTCTTCAGCTGCTTAAAACCAGAAACATTCCACCCAAATTAAAAACATCTGGGTACAAATTACTTCTAGTCATTTGATATGACCTTGTCCAAGGAAATAATAATGCCAGCTTTGTGGCAAAATGGCTGTTGTCAAGGAGATGGCTCAGATAGCCCAAACAGCTGGTAGCAGTGACATCACCTCTAGGCTCAGCAGAAAGAAAAGCCAGTGATACAGACAAGGCAAAAGCCTTTGTATCTGACCATGAAACCACTACTGTAGCAGGGAAAACAGCTTCTCATGTAGCCTTTCCTTTCTGCAATTGCTTCTATTTTCAGGTTCCAGATTCACTAAAGGAATTTGAACTAAATCCAAGAATATGGTCTTGCTGAGTAAGTTAATGGATTAATCTTAACAGAACTTCTTATAGGTTATTTCTTTTGTATAATTTCCAAAGTGTCTAATGAGATAATGTACCATATAAGCCTGACATTATCTGCCCCATTTCATACACAGGAAAACTAAGGTGAATCAAGGGGGAGAGATCCCGTGGATCTCAAGGATAAGGTAGAGTTAGAATTCAGACATTCAGATTCCTAGGCCTGCAGGCATATTACTTACATTAAGATTCACCTCATAGCCACCTTGGAGCAGTTACACAAAGAGCAGAGCCTGATACATGGCTCACTTAAATACTGTGTTATCTGGATGTAGAATTCATCTCTATTCTCAAATTCTAAGGTGGAGAAAAACAAACAAATGTGGAAGAAAGCTGCCTGAAACACTTGGGTTACTGGATTTCAGAGAGACGAGGGCTCAAAACTTAGATCTGGCATGTCCCAGCATTGGGACTTCAAGTAAGTTGTCCCAGCCTCGGTCTTCTCAAGGATGAGTGAAAGAGTATAACAGCAGCACCTATTCCTGAGGGTTGATGATGGTTAAATGAGAGTGTATGTGATAAGCCTGGCCCGAGTGACACATTAGATGTGATTAAAGAACAACAAAAAAAGACCTCCTTGTTTCTTCTCTCAGAGTTTTTTCTGCTGAATGGAAAATTATTTCCTTCAATTGGGAAGTGATGATTTATAATTCAGCCTCTCTCACCAGAATAGAGCTGGTTCTTTGTTAGTAGCTTTCAAATAAACACAGAGAAATCACCCTCAGAACAGCAAGGTCCAGGGAGCTCCATCCATCCTTCATTTAACAGATTTAGACATAAAGAGCAGAGGTGGTCTGTCAAAGATCACAGAGTGAATGGCGCAACCAGGATGGGAATTCTGACACTCTAGTTTCCTTGCTATTAATCAATTACTTAACTGAAGGATGAAAAACAGAGGTTATTCATGATTCTAAGGACGTCACTATCTACTGCTCAATCATATTTCCAAGTTCTTTTAACCCAGGACTCTCCCAATAACCTGCAAAGGACGAAGAAACACTGAAAAGGAAAGGAAGGTTAATTTCAAAACAAAGCCCAAATTATCTAGGTGTCTTGTGATTGCTGTAAGCTTTAAGACAACCAGGGGTATACAGAGCCTTGATGTAGCTGGCAGGAGCCCCTATCTGGATCCAGTTGACAGATGTACTTTGAGTGTGAGTCCTAAGGGTAACAAAAGGCCACTAAGAACCTGAAAGTGCAGTGTGGCCTACTTTTCTCTTGTGGTTGAGCTGCTCCAAAGGAACTGTGCAAAATATTGCTTTTGCTAGGATCCTGCAGGTAGGATTTTTCTAAAGGGAAGCAGCACCTAATTACCTTTCAAGGCAAGGTGGTTGTATGGACCCTAAAATCTAAGGGGTCATTATTCTAGAAAAGCAACTATTAGGAATTCTGAGTTGCAGTAAAGGGCAGTATTTCCATCTCCCGCTCAAATTAACGGACCAAAATTGGTTTTCACCCTTAACAAAAAAGGCGGTTCCCGTTCTCCGCCCTTTAGTGCCCTCATAAAATATGGCTGCCAAAATTTTTTCCCTTAACTTGGCCGGTCCAAAGACTGATGCTTTGCCCTTAGTTAAGATGGCACCCACCAACTTTTCCCTGCCCGACCTCTAGCCCTGGCAGATCGGCTTCATTGAGCGAACTTCGATGACCCCGCCTCGTTTCCGCAGGAAGCAGCGCGGGGGAAAGATGGCGAGAGCTGCGGTTTGAATTCCAGCGGCGGCCCCACAGTCTGAACGCGAGCCGGATTGGAGTGGGCGGGGACCTAGAAAGCCGGGCGGGTCGCAACAGCCGGGCGGGGGAAACCAGTGGCGCTGCCTCTACCGACACTGTTGCCACCACTGCCTTTGTGTCCGTGATGGACTCCGTGTTGGAAGAAGACGTCACTGTCCCCGGGACGTTCAGTGGCTGCAGGTGCGGCCCGGGTACTGGGGTTCGCGGTAACTGGGCCGGAGTTCCCACTGATGGGGAACTTCTCTCTAACCCGGTTTTGGGGTTTGCTCTTGAGGGTGGGTGTGTGGTCAGGGGCAGAGTGTGGGGTGGGCTTCTTCGGGCAAGGTCTACACTGGGGCCCGCCTGTTGATACTGAGTTTGGGGCCTACGAGTTCTTGATCTGCACTACACTCGATCCTTTTTGGGGCAAACTTGAAAGGGTATAAAGGGCAGTAGGATGAGGGAGAATTGCTTGGAGTATGGCATGGTTTCGGGGACGGGGACCTTGCAACCTTGAAAATTAATTCTGGTTTGGGCTTTGCATTGATTATGGGGAGTGTAGTCCTTATGTTTAGACTTTTGATTATGTGTTCACACAGTGGCCACCTAGGACAGAGACAATGGAGTGCAGTGGTTAAGAGCTGCTGCTGGAGGTAGATAGAATTACAATCAAATCCAGTTTGTACGCTGACTAGCTATGTGATTTGATAAAACCGATCGTGATCAACTTTTCCATCTGTAAACTGGGTTAAGGTAGTATCGACTTAGTAAAATTAGGGAGAAGATTAAAAGAAGCCATGCCTGCATCAGTGATGGAGAACTGAGCCTGTATTGTTGTTAGTGTTGTTATTGTCACTACTACTAATATAGGTTGAGTATCCCATATCTGAAATGATTAGGGCCAGATATGTTTCAGGTTTAAGATTTCTTTTGAATTTTTTCATATACATAATGAGATATATTAGAAACGAGACCCAAGTCTAAACATGAAATTTATTTATATTTCATGTATACCTTATATACTGTTTCGTATACACCTTATACGTGTAAGATAATTTTATAGTATATTTTTAATGTTGCCTGCATTTTGTGATCTGTCACATGAGATCAGGTGTGAAACTTTCCACTTGTAGCTGTCATATTGGCATTCAACAAGTTTAGCATTTTGGATTTTGGATTTTTAGATTTAGGGATGTTCAAACCGCATTATCAGTAGTGGTAGAATTCAGGAAACAATGACTGAAACTGACCTTCCAATGAACCTGCTCAAATGGTTGGAGTCTTTTTGGCTGGTGGAACTGAGGCCTTTTTGGAGGCTTGATGGGGTGCTATATTGCTCCAGGGGCCTTTGGTTCTCGTGGGCTCCGGTTTGGAGAGTGGGTAGCAGGAAGAGAAAGAGAGGACCTGACTGAGAACTTGCAGTCTTTATCTATTTCTCTAGGGATGGGCTACTACTTTTTTCAGATCCTACTTGAGAGTGGTTTTATAATTTGTTCTGCACACCAGATGCTATTAAGTGAGCACAGTTAACATTTATGTCTGTTGTCTTACTTTCTTGTCCCTGACACAGTACCCAACACCCACAACTCTAGGAAAGTGAGGTTTATTTTGGCTCACAGTTTGCAGAGGCTGAGTCCGTAGTCCTGATTGGCTACGGGGTAGAGGGGCATGGCAGAGGTGAACCAGCTGTTGTGGCTCCAGGGAGGAGGATTGACTCCTCCAGGCCACGCCCCCAGCGGCTATTCTCTGATAGACTTCATCTCCTAACATCACATTTAGCTGTAAATTCCTCAGTTGACTAAACCATTGATGAGTGTCACACCCCCATAATCCAGTTGCCTCCCCACTTATGAGAATCTGGGGCTTTGGGGCAACATTTAAATATAAACCCTGATGCTGGGACAGCAAAATAAGCATAAACAGTTTCTATCTTGGGCAAATCTGGGAAATGTTTACTCTGTTTATTGAGAATCTCCTATCAGGTATCAGACAAAGAGCGTAGCCCTTTGTAGTTAGCTCTGGATCCAGTGAAAGTTCATCCTGTCCCCTTCTCTGCAATTTGCCTACGACTGCCTCTTAACCTGGATTGTCCTGTCTTCCTTCACATCTCTAATAACCCTTACTAGTACAGCTTGAAAGCTTCTGACTTGTAAATCTTACCTTCTTAAGCTGCTGCCACTGAACCCCGGGCATTTGAACTGAGCTACGTCCAAGGACCCCTTTTGTTTTTCTGAGACAGAGTCTCTAAATTGCTATATTGCCCAAGCTGGGATCATACTCAAGTATTCTGCCTCAGCCTGTCAGAGTGCCAGGATTATAGGCATGTACTACCACACCTGCCTGGGCCTCAGTTTTCATTAACTCTAAAATGGGCTAAAGCTTAGGGTTGGCGTAAGAGTTAAAATGACTCCAAAAGGGTTTAGCCAAGTGTCTGATCCAGTGTAGCTCCTCAGCATATCTACAAACCTTTCTTTCTTCTGCCAGCATTATAGAACCCAAGTGCTGAATACATTCCTGATAACTAACGCTTTACCTACTGTAGAGTCTTGGCAGCTTCTTGCCACCCTCAGAATGAAAGTCTTTAATATGATTTCCAGGGTCCTTCATAATCTGGCCCATCTACTTCTCCCGTTTCTAATTTCCCATGCCTGTCTCATCTCCAAGCTCTTCACCCTGTGCCTGGCTGCCAAGCTCTTTATCTTGCCGTGTTTCTTGCCAGCAGGCCTGTAGACTTACTTGCTGTTTTGCTGCCTGAGTTGCCCTCCTAATTCCCCTTTGCCTTATCATTTCTTTCTCAGAGCTCAATTTAGGTGTCACTGCTGGGAAATCTTCACTGCCATTTCCAGGCCTTAGCTAGGTCTTCTCTATTCTTCTGATCACTTTATCTTTCAGTGATCCTAGTGGACCTCACCAAATTTTACTGGCTAGCACTTTCCAGTGTATATAATTTGAAATTTTCTAGCAACCACCTTAAAAAAAGTAGAAGAAAAAAAAAAAGATAATTTTTGTCCTTTCTTTTTTTGTGTGTGTAGTGTTGGGAAATCAAACTCAGGGCTGCAGTGTGTGCTTTACCACGGTTACCCCACCAAAACAGTGCATTCAGTAATACTGAATATTTTATTTAGCCTAATATTTCTTTCTTTTCTTTTCTTTGTTTTGGTATTGAGGATTAAACTCACGACCTAGGGCTTGCCAGACAGACGCTCATGCCACTGAGCTAAATCCCCTAGCCCCTTTTAGCCTAATATTTCCATATGTTATTTTAATTTGTAATTAGTAGGTAAAAAGCATTGATGAGATAATTTGCATCCTTTTTTCCTCTTACTAAATCTTTGAAATTTGGCATGAATTTTAGATTTACAACACTTCTCAATGAGGACAAACCACATTTCAAGTGCTTAGTGGCTTCTGTAGTGGATCCTGAAGGTGTTGGTTATTAACTAACCTGTTGCCCAGATTTGAGAGCAGAAAGTACATTTCTTTAGTGCTTTTTTTTTTTTTTTTTTTTTTTTTTATCGGTACTGGGGATCGAACTCACGACCGCCTGCTTGCAAGGCAGGTGCTTATGCCGCTGAGCTAGATCCCCAGCCCCTAAGAAAGTACATTTCTTTTGTCTTTGTAAATACAGTTCCTAACCTGGTATTAGGGTCTCTGTGACTGCTAATCACTGAATAAGCAGAGATCCTTGGAGTGATTGCATGATCTCTAAGGGGACCAGTGAGACTTAGAGAACTGAAATGTGTGGTCTGGGTTCACCCAAAAAGTGCACAGAGTCAGGATGTAAGACCTCCACTTACTGACTTCAAAGCCTGTGCTGCCTTCCAATTTGGATTGAGGGGATTTGGGGGAGATATTGAAGACCTCTTGGACTGAAGAGGTTCTAAAGAGTGTCCAAAATATCCTGAGAGGCAAGGTCTCTGTTAGATGATAACAGTGAAAAAGAGTAATGCCTCAGATAAAATCTTACCTTCTTATTGTACTATTTTTTGAGTGCTCTTCTGCTGGATAATTTCCAAGCCCTAAAGTATAGTCCAATCTGTTCTTAAACTTTCGTTTGAGTAGGACAGTGTGTGTCATTCCCTCCAAAACTCATCACCTGCGAGTGTCCCAGACAGCTCTGTCTCTGGGACATTTAGGCCCAGATTCTGGCCTCAGGGTCCTCGTCCAAGCAGAGGCCTTTTATTAAGCCTGCCTGGTGGTGTGTAAAGAACCTGGCATTGGTGGTGGAGAGGATTGGGTATAAATCCTGGTCCAGCCAGTTCCTGGTTTTGGTTCTATGAGTAAGTCACTTAACCCTTCTGAGTTTTCTTTTTAACGATCCTATCTGTTGTGTTGAAGGGTATGCAAGTGCAGTGAGAGTTTGTGTATTAAGTGCCTGGCACTACTGGAGGAGTGTGAAATGCTGATGCCTGATGCACTAACCCCAACCGTAACCTTGCCAGGAAACACTGGACAGGACTTCTTTTTTTTTTTTTTTTTTTTTTTGTCTTTTTCTTTTTTATCGGTACCGGGGATCGAACTCATGACTGCCTGCTTGCAAGGCAGGCGCTTTTGCCGCTGAGCTAAATCCCCAGCCCTGGACAGGACTTCTGTACCACTGCACTGGGCACTTCCCTCTGCTTCGCCCACTGTGAGCTTCCTAAGGTCCGAGCTCAGGCTTATTTACTCACAAGCTCGTCCAGCTCTTGGCCATTAAGTGTTCGTTTTGTGCTATGAGCACAGTTTGTACTTTCTCGGGCAGTGTGCCTTTATGGACTCATAGTAGAAGGTCAGGAAGTGGGAGAGTGGACTGAAATTTCTGGGGAAGGCTTGATGGGAATGGATTGCTGCTTTGGATAGAGGGTCCCTCCTGAGATGTGAGGTATGAGAAGAGCACTGGTGTGTTCTTTCCTGTGTCTTAGCACTTATATTTGTGTCTGGCACGTAGTAGAGCCTCCGCATATATTTGTTGAATGAATTGATTTTGCTCAGTGTCTTTTTAAAAAAATGAAGACCATGTAATCTAGGCCCCATGTTTAGTAGTGAAATACTGAAATACTGCTTTGTTATCATTGTTAAAAGTTGTGTACACAGACTACCCATTGGCATAGTCTTTCTGGGACACAATTCGACATTATCAAGATTAAAAATTATGCCTGTGTGTGTTTTTAAAACAGTTTTATAAAGATATAATTTATGGCTGCGAGTGGTAGTGTATACCTGTTACTGGTTACCCCCAGTATTCTATGAGACTAAGGCAGGAGGATCACAAATTCAAGGCCGGCCTGGGCTCCTGAGCAAGACTCTGACACAAAAACCAAAAAAAAAAGGGCTATGGATATAGCTCGGTGTGGAGATGCTGGATTCAATTTCCAGTTACTGGAAAAAAAAAAGACATAATTTATATGCTATAAATTTTACTCATATAAAGTATACCAGTAGGGCTTTTTAAAATAAGTTTTATTAAAAATTTTTTTTCCCTTTTGAAACTGAGGTTGAACCCAGGGTCTTATACATGTTAGATTAGTGCCTTTCCACTGAGCTATATCTCAGTCCTTTTTATTTTATTTTTAATTGGTTAACTAACTAATTAATTAAGTGGTGCTGGGGATTGAACCCAGAGTCTTTACACTGAACCATTCCCCCAGCCTTTCGTATTTTTTGTTTTGTGACATAGTCTTGCTAGTTGGCCAGCCTGGCCTCAAAATTGTGATCGTCCTGCCACAGCCTCCTGAGTAGCTGGGGTTACAGTTGTGTGCCACCATGCTCAGCTTCAGTGGCTGTTAGTATGCTTGCAGAATTGTGCGGCCACCACCAGAGTACACCTTTTGAACATTTTCATCATTCAGAGAGAAACCTTATGTCATCAGCTACACTCCCTACTCTTGTACTCCTCCACTTCCCCTCTGAGCCCTACAAAACCTTGATTTGCTTTTTGTCTTGAATATTCATAGAATGGTGTCTTCCAACATGTGAACTTCAGTGAGGTTCATTCATGTAGTAGCATATCTGTACTTCATTCCTTTTAATGGCCAAGTACTATTCTTTGTACCTATTAACTTGGTTACTTTTCTCTTGTTGCTGAGACAAAATACCCAACACACAAAGTTAAAAGAGGAAAGGTTTATTTAGCTCAAATTTCTACAGTTTGTAGAAGTTTTAGTCCATAGTTGGCTGGCTCCAAGAAAGGTACAATGGCAGAGGGCAGCAGAGCATCAAATTAACAAAGAAGCAGCAAGGGACAAGCGATGAACAGTGACCTTTCTGTCCCTTATACCCTTCCAGGCTGTCCAACCTTAGGGTGGGTAGCACTCACCCCAAGCGTGGTGCAGTTTTTTTAAGTTTTTTTTTGTCTTTTTCTTTTTTTTATCAATACCAGCGATCGAACTCACGACCACACATTTGCAAGGCAGGCGCTTATGCCGCTGAGCTAAATCCCCAGCCCCAGTGGTGCAGTTTTAATCCTATCATCTCACCGTAAATCAATCCCAGCATCCCATACTCTAGATCCATCCACCTGTGAAAAACCCCATCTATGACTGCATGAGGCTTTGGGGGGACATTTAGGTACAAGCTGTAACATCATCTACCAAATTTTGTTTATTCATTCATATTGATGGGAATTTGGATGTCTCTGTTTTTGTCTATTATGAATAATGTTGCTCTGAACATTTACTTCTGTACAAATTTTCATGTAGATACATGTTTTCCCTCATCTTGGGCATATATAAGTATAAATGGAATTGTTGGTTTGTATGGTTAACCCTTTAATATTTTGAGGAACTGTCAAGAGTCTATTCCGAAGTGGCTGTACCATTTGTCCCTCTCACCAGCAGTGTTTGAAGGTTTTAGTTTTCTTCACATCCATACCAACACTTGTCATAACTGTCTTTTTGACTGTGGCTGTCTGGAGGTGTAATGTATCTCAGAATGGCATTGATTTGTGTTTCTGTAATGACTAATGATATTAGATATCATTTCATGCGCTATTAGCCATCGGTATGTTTTCTTTGATGAAATGTTTACTCAAACTGTTGCCTGGTTTAAAAAATGTGAGCATGTTTTGACCGAGCAATTTTGCTCCATGTTATTTATCCTAAAATCTATCCTAGAGAATTCTCATGCATGTGCACAGTGGGGTCTGTCTGAAGATATCCATATAGCATTATTTGTTAAAAAAACAAAAACTGTGGAGACAAATTGAATGTCATCAGTAGAGGACTGGGTAAATATGCATCCTTTCAAGTGTCTTTCAGACTGTCTCCCATAGGTAGCGCATGAAATTCAAACTTTGTAAGTTGCAACTGATTTTTAAGAAGTTGAACAGAACATAAATTATTTCAGGAATTAAATCTTTTATGTATTATGGTCAATAAAATTTGAAAAAATCACTGCTATGGAATGCTTTGTAGGAGTGGAAAACATTGAAGCAGATCCACTTTACTGTCACCAGAACAGTTTTAGGACACGTCTTTCGTAGCTGGAATATGGTGCAGAATAATATATATACTTCGGTTGCATTTGTTTTCTTTTCAAAAATAGTGTCTCAATGTCTGTGAATAAACAGAGGTTTAAGGTCTGGAAGGAGAACCTTCGTCACATCAGTGGTTACTTTTTAGGTTAATTTAGGAGGGGATTGAGGAGTCATCCAGAGTGCTTTCGATTCATCTGTGTTTGTTTTTTTTCAAATTAAAAGTGAGTATTGAAGCTATGAATTAAGAATAATGAAACGAGTTGTGTAGGATGAAAGAGGCCTTGTTAAAAGACAAACAAGAGTGCGCTTGTTGATGTTGTTTACCGTGTGTGATGTCCAGTTCTATCCATGGTTCTTGTAACGCTCTTCAGTGAGACACGTGGCCCTTGTTGGCTTTGTGTGTGAAAGGACCGTTGTGGCCGGCAGATATATGCATGGAAAGAGATCGCTCGCTTCTACAAGGCAGCAGTGGTGCCAGATAGGAGGCCATGGTGTTGAAGCTCAGGTGAGACCGTTCATTCATACTCAGCCAACAGTTGACACACAGTGGTAGCCATGGAAGTCCTCTGCCTGTGTCTGCTCAGTCTTCACTGCCACTCCACTCCCTGGAGAAAAGTGTTAGGGTTCATCTTTATTCTGAGGTTAAGAGTGATGATCAGAGTGAGAAGAGAACTGTTTGCACTAGAGGTGTGGACAAGACTGAACCACACAAATAACGGAGATACAGAGCATTTTAAAAGTGGGCAGGTAAAGCCCACGTGGGAATTTGACAACTTGCTATTGCCTGTTGAAGCTGTTAAAGATTGAAACCTTTGGCTTTGCCTGCCAGATAGTTTTCAGGTGTGATTGACCTTGGCCTGAGTTATGCATGGGCATTTCAGCCTGTGGAAGTTCAGGTAATGGCTTGGTGGAGAGCACCCCAGATTAAGGAGGGAGGACCAGACTTTAGGCTAAGCCTGGCCAGTAACCAGGTATGGTATGTGATTTGGAGTCTGTGAGTCCATCATCATTTGCAAAAGGCAGGTGTAGAACTTGACTTTAAGTTTTCAAATTCAGTTTAAAAAATGGAGTGATGGGCTGGGGCGTGGTGGCACACTGCCTACCTGGCAAGCACAAGGTCCTGAGTTCAAGTCCTGCTACCAGAAAAAACAAAACAAAGTCCCCAAACTAAAAAATATGGAGTAATTGATGCTAATGAGAAGAAATTGAAGATGATAGACAATTAAGTTAGGAGGAAATTATTTTTTATTTCCCTATACATGATGGTAAATATTTTAGTGTATGTTCTTTGTCTTGTTATGTATTTATGGCTCACGTTGTTCCAAAAAAGGATTTGGGATGATTTTAAGTGTGCCTGTATATATTTTTTCCATGTTTGAGGACACACTATATTTAAGCTTTTCCAGTTTTCTTTTTTCTGTATGTGTGTGGTACTAGGACTCAAACCCTCACATAGGCAAGCATTCTGTCTCTGAGCTACATCCTTAACCTCCGGTTATCTTTAAAGCACACACTTTCTATGTAATCACTTTCCAGACGTTGAAATTTTATGAATTTTCTGGTTGTTTGCTTGATTTGAAATGCGAAGGTCACATTCTACCTGCAGAGTTTGGTGATTAGGGAAAAGTGTCCAAGAAGCACGATACATTTGGATTTAGAAGTAGAAAAGAGCAAATGGCCAGTAAGTGAAGCTGAGTATTTGTCAGTTTCTGGTTTATAGGTTGGAAGAGACAAGTGTTTTGGAGGTTAGTCTCTGGACTTTTGTTTTCTGCTGCCGTTTGATTCTGGCTAGGACACTGAAACTGAACTTCAGAGCCTTCTCTTGAAAAATATACAGACCCTTAGGGAGTTGGGCAGTTCTAACGGAGGTAAGTATTTTATAAATTATAAAGCACAGTATGTTTCACAGGGACAATGATGTTTTGCTTCCATTTATGTAGTGCACACAGTGTGCCAGGTATCAGGCTGAGCATTTCTTGTTTAGGGGCCGTTACTCTGTGAAATAGCTGCTGTTCTCCCATTAGAGCTGAAGAAGTGAGGCTTGGAGAGGTACATGCAGAGCTTAAACTGGAATCTAGGTAGATTCCAGATTCCAGTTTAAGCTCTGCTGCTTCTCTGTTATGTCAAATCATAATCATCTACTTTTCTGTCAGTGTTTCCAAATCTGCACTCTTTCTGTTTATATGATTCAACCAGTCCAACTCTCGGATCAGTGAATGCTGCACTTTTTGTCTGACATTCATAAAATTTTTGATTGTGTTGATATATTAATGATAGCAATAAAGAACAAGAGTAACAAGTGCCACTTATGCAGCTGTTACTATGTACTAGGTGCTTATACACATGAACTCATTTATCCACACTAGTGTGATGTGTCCATCTGACAGAGAATGATTTGAGACTCAGAAACCCCAGTAGCTTGTATTTGGCGCAGTGCTCTGCACCTAGTGTGTACGTGGCACGCAGAACATTTGCTGTACGAATGAGTGAGTGAGTGAATGGGCGTGCTGCAGGCCACCGGCTACTGAGTGTTACACCTGGGACTCAGCCAAACTCAACCTCAGATCCTGAGTTCTTAAGCTCTTCACTTCATGCTCCCCAGGTAGCTGAGCTATGTGACCACGTGGCCATGGCCTGCTGGTTACCTCATGCAGGTGGGGCATTCTCAGTTGTCTCTGTTGTTCAAAGACTACCTCATCTCTTACCTGTGTGTTCTCTTCTAGTGGTCTTGTTCCTCCTCTACCAGATGACCCGGATGGCATCAGCAGCATTGCCAATTTGGGAAATGCAAGTAAGTACACAGAGCTGGGTTTCTCTTGAGGAAGAACCAGGGGAGTAGGCAGTAGATCGTGAACACCTTGAGGCCTGGGACTCAGACTGGGGACTTCAGACTGGGGTCCAGAGCCTCCCTGTCCTGGCACACAGTGGATGCCAGCATTTTGGATTCCATGTGGTACTGGTTTGCTCTCCACCTGGTTTCACAAACACTATACTGGAGCAGTTAAGGGACTGTACTTGTTGGGGGGTGATTTTTCGTACTACTAGTCCTGTAGGGTTCAGCCACTGTTTGCTGAACTGGACGACTTGAGCAAGGCCGACAAGGAACTGGTGAGCAGGCCCAGCATGGGGCTTCTATTGGTCTCCACTGTCGAGGGCCTGGGGGCCCAGGAGAGCTGCTGCCTGGGCTTTGTATGCCAGGCCTTTCCTGGCAGGCTGCTGGCGTCCATTTGCCAGCTGAGGTCCAGCATTCCTACATGGGCCTGCCCTTTGTACAAATAGCTGCTGAAACCCTAGGCGATGTTGCTGAGTAAATAAGTAGTGTATTGTATTTAAACTGGATTATGAGGAGACTCTGCACTTTGGGTTTGGGTGAGCACGCCTCATAATTTTCACTGTGAGAACAAGTGAATGCTCTCCCAAGTGTCTGTGTGGGTAGTGCTAATAATTAGCCTTGTTGAGATATCTTAGAATTATTTTGACTTGTGTGGTTTCTTTTCCTCATCTCCAAAGTGAAATGTGCAGAAAAACTTTTTTTTTTTTTTTAATATCTCCTCCATGGCAGACTCGGCTCAGCACTAGGATTCATCATTGAACATCATTACCTTCAAGCTAAGAATGCAGACAAAGGTTATGAGGAAGCATGTGCCAGTGTGAGGCCTGAAGCGGTGTTAGGTGCTGTGAACAGGGACAAGAGAGATTTACCTGGTGTGAGTCAGGCAAGGGTTTCCTGAGACATTCACGTGGGTCCCGAGACTTGAAGTAAGACTTAAATAGGGAAAAAGGAGAGGGCAAGCATCTTGGATGGCAGAACAGCCCAGATGAGAAACAAGAAAACGTCTGCGCCCTCTGCGTCCCCAGTCTGGTGTCCAAGGCTCTGCGTAGTCTGTTCAGCCTGTGCCTCAGGCTCCTTCTGCTGAGTGGTTTCCAAGCATTGTGTGCACTCCCACCTTTGTGCTTCTATCTGGGCTGCTTGCCATGTGCTTTCTGCCTCTTTAGGATTTAGCTCAAATCCTAAATCCTTCTTTGGCCTAATTAGGCTTTTTCTCTCTGAACGTTATGCATTTCACTTTATTTACTCCTGTTGGTTACTTTTTAGAATATCAGAATCAAACTAGGTCTATGCAGAATCAAACCAGGTCTCATCCACTGATACTACAGACCACCAGGATCTCTAACCTGGGTTATCTTGTTATTCTGACTGGTCCTTTTGTATTCTCCTATACTGGGAGAATTATAGTCTGTCTGTTCTCTGCAAGACAGCCAGAGGGAGCCTGGAGCAATGTGAGCCTGCTCTGGTTTCTCCTGAGCTCTGAGTCCACCAGGGGCTGTTCAGTCCTTAACAGTAGCTGCAGTCCCTCTTCCAAAGCCTCTCATAGCTGCTGCTTCTCTCTTTGTTTGTTGATCTCCAGCCATTGCTTTCTAGCTGTCCTTCAGACTTACTGGGTGTGCTCTCACCCAGGGTGCTCCCCGCACCTGGAGTCTTCTGCCCCAAGGAACTGACTGCTTCCCTTCAAGCCTGCACACAAAGTTCTTCTCAGTGAGACAATCCCTGATAACCTTATTTAAAACTGCAATCTCCTCCCCACCCCTGGATTTCCCATCCTTATTAACTATTTTTCTCCATAGCATTTCTTGCCTTTGAGTGTATTATGTAGTTGCCCCATTATTTGCTTATTGTCTATCTCCCTCTAGAATAGAAACTCGATTCATTTCCTGTTGCAGCCACATCCAGAAAGCTGCCCGGCAGAAATTAGGCGCTCAGTATAGCTTTGATGGGGGTATGAGTTCATTCATTGACTCCACACATATTTACAAACCATCTGCAAAGCACCACGTATTCTGTTTGGTGTGATAATGGTTTGTTTTTCTCTCTCTTGCTCACTTGATTGAGAAGGATCAGTGTCTCCTTCACCATTGTTTCTCCAGCACACAGGATGGTGCATGATGCATAGCAGGTGTCTAATAAATGTTCCTTGAATTAAGGAAGCTGTGGAGAAATTGGTACTGGCAGTTTTTACTCAAAATGGGGGTCAGCAGTTTTCTGACTGCTGCCTGCTTTTGGGAGTAAAGTTTTGTTGGCTACTTGGTTTATGAGTTGGCTGTGGCTGTTTTTGAGCTGCAGCAGAGGAGTTGTGCAGCAGTGACAGCTTTGCGTGTGACCTGTATTTGCTGTTTCAAGAAGTTTGCCAACTGCTGCATCAACATGCTTTGTTTCGGTGCTCCATTACTGACATGAAGATGAGGAAGTGCAGGTCAGGACAGCCACATGCCCAGTGTATTTTCTGGGTTCATCCCTGATATGCACATGTACACTGGCAGTAGTTTAAGTAATTCCGTTAGTATTTGAAATAAAAAAAAGGTTTAGCGTTTTCTCTGGTCTCAAATCAGTAAATCACAACAGGCGGAAAATGCCAATAGGGGACATGGTGGAAACTCCTCATGTTTTCTCTTCTCTGGGGTGGTCCCTAGTAGGAATATTGGGCGGTTTGCATGCCTTGATGTTTTCCTTTGTCTGTTTTGCCTTTTTATAGTCCTCCCCACTGCATCAGAAGAAAAGTTGTCGCCTACCAGAGCACGGAACATGAAGGACTTTGAAAATGTAAGTGTAGATATCAAATTGTTGTTTCTAACAAATCGCTTCTGCTGCTTCTGCCCCAGCCAGATGCAGAAGGGCGCTGTGTTTTGCAAGAATTTGTTCCGTAAATATACAGTCAGCCATTACTGCTGCTGGCAAGGTCAGCAAATCCCAGCTTTGGGCACTTGGTATGTTGCTGGTGTCCTGACGATGAACAGGTGACACATTGCACAGTTGAGGAAAGCTAACATTTGTCAAGGGACTAACGGTAATGCAAGGCATGTTCTTTATGACCCTTGGCTGGTCTTTGCTGTATAACTCTTGAGGTATTTCATGTATCCCCATTTTAGAGATGAGGAATCTTAAGATGAGGAAAGACCCATTTATAGTCATGTAATATGTAAAGGGAAGAGCTGAGATTTGCATCTAGGTTTTTAATGATTCTAGAGCTATTGTTGTTTTGCACTGCTTCATGTCTCCCCATTCATTTTATAGACTTTGTTGCTGTCGAATGGAATATGAGTAGCCTCTTACAGTACTGTGTGGCAGTTGTCTGCAAATGGATTACTCGGTGATAGATTTAGCTCCTGATACCTAATGTCTTCCAGCACTGTGTCTTTCATTTGTTAATGGAGGGGGTTTGTTGTCAAGTAATAGGAAAATAAGGTGATTTTCTCCATTCCAATTCTCTTTAACAAGTTACCTGCTCAATGCTCTCATTTATCTTGGGAAGAATTAGACTCTTCTTCATTTGTAACCAAATGAAATCCACACTATGCAAGACACGGGAGATATTTATCAGAGAAAAGACGGAGGACACAGAGAGAAGGGCGCTCCACAATTATGTTTCTCTCTTCCCAGTTGTCTTTACAGAACAGAGTGGTGCTGTCTCTGGATTTAATTTAGAATACTCATTACTGCTAATAGTTATCTGCAAACCACCAGTGACCAATTGAAGAAATGACTTGTCAGATCTCTAATGGAAACAAGTAATTTCTGAGCTTAGAGTTGTTATAATTTCAGCAATACAATGAGATCTATGCTGTGGGGTCTGGGGCTTCAAACGAATGAGATTTGATTATTCCACATCGTGTATAATTAAAATATGCTCTGCTGTTAAATGGTTGTTCCTGTTTTATCATAAGAGTAATAATAGCTACTGTTTATTGAGCTCTTGCTCTGAGCTGGGTATTTTGTGTTAAGTTCTGTGTATATATTCCTTTAATATTAAAGCAGCTTTCTAAATTGAGAGCTATTACTTGTTTTTGAAGGGTACCATTTTAAATTTTACTTCTAGATGGGAAGATTTAACAGAATTGTAAAATTTTGGTTTCACTTTTTGTTGTCTGCCTTTTGAACTAGAAAGAGTCCTGGATCCCACTCTTTATTATACGTAGGAGAAACTGAGGCTCAGGGATGCAAAGTGGCAGAGCTTCTTTCAGAGACAATCTATGTTTGCAGAGCCAGACTGCCTTTGTGTCCACCTCTGCTTGGTGATTTTGGGCTGCTCTGTGCTTGCTTCCCCTTTAAAGTGGGTGTACCGATGGGCTGGGCTTCGAGGAGCTCCTGGGAGGACTGATGAGCACAGCATGTATTCCTAGCACAGAGTACATTCCATGTTTTAGCTCTTTCTCCTCATTATTATTGTCATTTTTCCCCACTCTGCCATGTGATTCAACTTTCTCTTGCACAGACACTCTTGATGGCCTAAATCCTACTTTATTTGAAGGTGAGAGAGAGCCTTCTATGCCAATATGTTTTAGGATTTATGTTTTTTTCTTTATGACTGTGGTCCTTTGCCTGCTGTTAGTTTTTTATGGCATTAATATTTTTTATTGTACCATTTTCAAGAGCAAATTCTGTAGCTGAAATTGAAATGACCACACTATTTTCAGTGTGTCCCTTTTAGGTCTTTTATAAGTCACTGAAATTTTTCATTTGGCCTCAGGTTGATATAGTAGCTCAGGCCATAGATCTTTGCGTGGTGGTAGACCGAACTTTCTGTGGGGTGCTCATAGGAAATGTGTTTGGCATCTAAGGCTAATTTTTTTTTTTTGGTACTGGGGCTTGAATTCATAACTTCACCCTTGCCAGGCCGGTGCTTATGCCACTGAGCTAAATCCCCGGCCCCTCTAAGGCTAATTTTACACTCAGCGTATATTTTAAAGGGGACTAGACTTAAAGGAGAAACTCATTATTCCTCTATTCTAGTCATTAGCAGTTGTGGTTAGTCCCTAAAGAGTTAAAGATATCCTATTACAGTGATACATGTACACTCATATTTATAGCAGCACAATTTTATAATAGCTAAATCTTGGAAACAGCCTATATGCTCATCAACTGATGAATAGATAAAGAAAACATGGTATTTGTATACAATGTGGTACTACTGTACCACAAAGAAAGGATAACCTAAGGCATTTGTAAGTAAATAGATGCACCTTGAGACTGTAATGTTAATTGAAATAAATCAGACAGAGCCTTAAATATGGCATGATTTCTCCTATATGAAAAACTCGAAATATAAATAAAGAGCAAAGTAAAAGGTAGATGATAGGGAGTAGGGAGATCTTTTTCAAATGGGAAGGGGAACAAGGGGTGGAGGGAAGGGAGGCATGGGATGGAAAAAAAATGAAAATAGAGCTTTTACAAATAGGAAGGGCACCAAGAGTTGGAAAGAACAGAGAGGCATGGGATGAACAGTGGCTGAAAAAGCAATTGAAGTATGTTATGACAATGTACCACCTCCCAATGATAAATATAAACATTATTACTGCAGACACACCAATGAAAAAGTAGATGCACCAGGAGAGGTTCAGATAAGACATAGGCCCACTTACAGTTTTGCTCAAGTTCATCCATGCAATAAGCAATTTCTCATATATGCCCTACGCCAGCCTGCCTGCCAGAGCCTTGGAAATCTGCAGTGATTAAAGCCAGGTACGTTTCCTTGTTAGGAGGTGCGGAATCTAATTGGGATGGTAGCGAGGAACGTAACATGGTAAGACAGTGAAGTATGACCCAGGTGCTGTGGGGCCATGGAGGAGGGCCTCTGAAGGACAGGGAGGTCAGGCCACCAGGGATGAGGAGGAAGGGGGCAGAGAGGCCTGGGAGAGACTCGCAGGGACAAGGTCTTGTGCAGGATTGAGTGAGCACACAGGGCAGAAGAGTTCAGGGACTTGTAAGTTCCCTTTGGCTGGAATGAGGCTCTATCAGGGAAATGAGGCCACCGAAGCAGGCAGGGGCCAGATCCTGCAGGTTCCTGAATGTTATACTGCTTGCTTTGAGTTTTGTTCTAAGGTGAAGGGGAAACCAGTGATGGGTTTTAATACGGGGAGGGAAATAACCATAATTGTGCTTTCCGAGATTGCCCAGGTTGACAACCGGTGAAGAAGAGGGTTTGGAGGGAATCAAGGCTGCTGGCAAGGCGATGAGGTGGAAGCTGCTACGGTGGGGTGGGGTGTGGGGGCAGAAAGCTGGGAGCTGAGGGGCTGTGATGATCCGTCGGGCCAGCTCACACTGGAGGAGCTGCAGCATGGTGCCATCCGTCTGCTCATTGGACACACGCGTTTGGGGAGCCCTGCGGGATGGGCTCTTCATCAGGCTGGGAAGCCAGACCTTCTGGCAGGAGACCTTGCACCCTCCTCTCTGTGCTGCAGGCACGCTCACTGACGTGTGAGCCTTCCTTTGGTCTTTAACCTGGGGACGCATGGTCCACGGTCCTCCTTAGATGTTGATGTTGTCACTTATGCAGGAGGGCAGGAAGTTGGTGAGTCAGTTTGGTCTATAATAGAACCTTCTCACTGGTCTTTTCTAGACAGTAATGTCGTGGGGAGCTCCTGTGTTGAAGGAGGCCTGGCGGAGGTAGTGTTTTGTGAAGCCCTGTGCTTCTCTGTGGTGAAATGTTCTAAATGTTAACATTTTTCTTGTCTTGCTTTCTTTCTTTCTGTCTTGTCTGTTTTTCTTTTCATCTGTCTTTCTGTCTTTTTTGAGACCGGGTCTCACTATGCAGTTCAGGATGGCCTTGGGTTCACTTTTTAGCCCAGGCTGGTCTCAAACTTTCAATGGTCCTCCTACCTCAGCCTCCCAAGTGCTATGATTATAGGAGTGTGCCACCATGCCCAGCTTTTTTTTTTTTTTTAAATTTTAAGTTTAAAATTGGACCGAGGAACATCTGGAGTCTGCTGTGGTGTATATCCAGTTGGGCAGCTGCCTTTATCAATATATAGAAGAGTTTAATTCTGGCATTTGACAGAGAATGATATGGATAGTTTTTCATTTCAGTACTAATGGAAGGCATTATTTGATCACCAAAATATTTCACAAGAAAAGGTTTCCAGAACCTCATGTGTAAAGCGGGGCTAGAGTCTTTTATTCAGTTACAGGAGGATTAAAATGAATGGATTGGGTCATAATTTATATAATTTCCTACTGTGGAACATTTCAAGTTGCTTCTCATTTATACCTATTACAAATAAAGCTGTAATAAGTATCCTTTGTATATATCTTTTTAGAGTTATGTGATTTTTTTTTTAGGGGGTAAATTCCTAGAAATGAGCTTTTTGTATGTCAGATGTTTCATGTGCAAGTTGTATGTAACAAACAGTACATACTACAAAGAAAGATTGATTTTGGTGGATTCTCTCTTAAGAAACTGGGGAAACCTTCTGCGAGGTGTGGCTGAAGCATTTGTCACATCTTGTTCTTACCCCAATCTCTTTGTCTTTGTCCGTTGTTTGAATTTTTCATTCCCTGATACCCAGAGATGGTGGTGTTGTAGCCCTTATTCCTGTTTGTTGAAAATTCTTGGTCTCTGCTCAGGCAGATTTGAATGTCTTTTCTGGTTCGGCAAGGAGCTTTGAATCTTTTAAGTTCACTCTTTGAGCCAGGCATAGTGGCTCAGATCTATAATGCTAGCACTCAGGAGGCTGGGGCAGGAGTATTGCAGTGAGTTTGAGGCTGGCCTGAACTACATAGTGACTTCAGGACCAGGCTGCACTATGTGGTGAGACTGTGCCTCAGAA